CATAAACATAAAATATGATTATACATTATAACCTTTAATTACCTGATTCCAACGAGGAAATATATCATCTTTTACGATTTTTGTTTTAAAAACTTGCCTTTTCTAACCAACCAAAGTAAGCGGTAGGATTATTTTTGTCTTTTTCGATATTCATGTTTACAAGTAAAAAAAAGTTTTTTTGACAAATTACTAATCTGTGTCCAAATACAGTAATTTATTTGAATTTAATTTAGTAACACAAAACGCCCCGAGCAGATGCTTTATTAATGATCGACATTATCGGACATTTATTAATTTTAATTTTGGAAATAGGTTTCGCTTACAAAAAATTCAACTAATCAAAATTATCGTATTCACCTACGTTTAATGATAACATTATATTCTTTTTTTAAATTTCCAACTAGTAACAAAACGTAACTTATTTCTAAAAAAAAAGTAATTCCGTAAATTTGGCAGATCAAGGCTGTCCTAACTATTTTTATTTTTTTCATATACAGCGGATTTCTTAACATGATAAAACATAATTTCATATAAATCGATCCTTCTTTCACCTTGCAATATTGCTATATAATCGTTTTTGCATTTTTAACTTGAATATTCTTATTTTAATTTGTTTTATGCGTAGTTTTAATTAATTAGCTTTTGGTAATTAGCATTTATTGAGTAATAAATTAGAAATTACGAAATTTGTAGAGCGCCGAACACTTAATTAGTTTTATTAAATAATTTTAACGTCATAACTACTTCAGTATTCTTTAATTAAAAACCTTCTGCTTAAATAAAAACGAAAGAATTGAATACAACAATATGATAAGTTATAATAATCTAGATACTTAATCAATCAATAGTTATTTCATTATTCATCATTCGTTTAATGTAAAAATTAATTTTTTTATAACGATATAAAACTTATAGAATAAAATAATTAATACCTTTATCATTAAGATTTATAAAATATATATATATATATATAAAATAAACATATGAACTAATCTCGTTTATATTATTATTATGGTAAAAATAATGGCCTTTCAATTTATTATTGTTTGGCGGTATCTTACGTCATTACCTAATTTAAATAAAACAGCTTGTAATTTTAAATCGTTCAATATCACGCTTTTTTGAGAACTTTGAGGTATAATAATAGCGTAGGACTATCTGTTTATGTTATCCCCTGCATTATGTTTCCATCCTTAGTTTGTAACATTTTGTTACAATCTTTTATTATTTTGCAGCACATTCTTTGTAACACTTTTTTTATATAGATATCGATCACTAAAATCTTTATATTTTTACATGAATTTTAACTTATTATTTTCTTCTTCTATCCGCTCTTTTAAAAGTCTGCTAAAGGTAAGTGTTTGAAAAGAGATAACGAACACGGAAATTGCTACAAATAATAAGCGAGCCATAAATTCCAATATCTAGACACTTTGGCAAAGTTACGATTAATGAGCTGTAATGGGCCACGCAATAGAAAAGTGAAGATTGTAGGCGTCGTAAGATTTAGGCCGTTGTCCTTGTTAAATGCAACTAAAGCAGTTTGTTCAGGTTTCTCATAACATTAAAGAGCTTGGAACCGTATGAATCTCTGTTCGAACCATTATCGAAAACGAAACATTTATTAAAAGAAAAATATATTTTGTTTATAAAAAAAATTTTTTTTGATTTTTGTAATATTTTGATGATAATAATTAATAATTATATCGAATTTTACGAAGGAATCATTAAAAAAATAATTTAAAGAACAAAGAATTTTCTCGTAAAAAAAAAAAAATTTCCGTGAAATACCGACTAAAATTAAATGATCTTTACAAAATGTTCATGAGTAGAACGAATTTTTAAAGCGACGGGATTTAACGGTTTCTGTTTTAACTGCCTTTGAACGCGGAATACTTGAAGATTTTGGTTAATTAGTTGTAATTTAATTTAATTTAAATTAATAATTACATCAAGTTCTTATTTTATTGAAATATTCAAATAAATTATATTGTTACAATTAAATGCAAATTCCGGCCGAAATCTTCATAATTTCGCTTGAAAATCGCTCTTGATAATTACAGTTAGTCCCTTTGACGATCATTTGCCA